AGTCAGGAGCTAGGAAAGGAATCACACACTTTTCATTCACTGTCTCAGGCCTTCGCTGTACCTGACACTCCTCCTTCCCTACTTAACTTTCTCTGTTATTTCTTTTTCAGTATTTGCCTTTATCTTTCCATTGCAAACTGTAAAACAAATATTTTCCAAACATTACTTTTTTTTTTTTTTACTTTGATTGAATCTCACTAAAAAGTCAGAGGAGTTTTTATTTTTCTAATCCTCACATTCTTCATATGGATTCCTCTTTCTCTCCTTCAGTGGCTCTAGAAGCCAGAAAATATTATCCATTACTTTTACAAATTGAAAGGATACTGTGGAAATCTTGTTTCTTTTTCGTTTTGCAGAAAGTATCCCATATTTTCTAGGATAAAAATGAAGAATGCAAATGTTCTTACAGTTTTTTTAAATTGTTAAAAGGTGCCTATTTATTACAATATGATTTTGCTAAAATCCTAATGAGCGATTTAGACTGACTTTATATTGGCAATCTGGACATATAATAAGTACTCTGCTCTTATTTTCAGGTATTGCCTTCCATATCGATCTGTTATATTAAATTGAGGGTACAAGCTTAGTGTGGTAAAAATCATATACACACAAGCATATTTTACCCTGTTATCATTTCCTTCTCCATCTTTAACATGCCTCGATAGCAATCATTGTTCTGACCAAACAAGTCCGTGCAGACACCAGATTCTCCCCATCTCTGAAATGACATATGTGGCGACCATGAGCTGTGAACATCTTCTAAATTCCTACTGTTTTGTTCATATTAACAAAAGTATAGGAAAACTTTGTTGTGGGTAAGATAATGGTAGACATTTTAACTATTATGAGAATAAGAATCGACAACTAACAAGTTATTCTTCAACCTGAATAAAAACAATTTTTAAATAAAATACTAGCTACTTAAAATATTTATAAAGTGTAAATAAAAAGCTGTACATTGTATTATTACTGAAATGCTAATCCATTTACCCCTGATTTGTATTAAAAAGTTATGACTTTATCTTAGAAAATCATCAGCATAAGGTCATGGTCTCACATGATCAAACAGATTTTATTTTCATTTTATTTCAAACATTGCTTCTGAACTTACAGCTTACATTTCTTTTAGCTACTCCTTTACAACTTTGCAACACCTCGCAGCTAGAACCAAAACTGTCTAGAACTGACATTAGTCTAAACAATTCCCTACATTGCACTAGAAATTGATGTTGCATATTCAAACAGAAAAAAATCTGCATTCTTACAGCACATTTTTCCTGTTCTTTCAAAATATGTTTACTGTTTAATAACCAGTAAGGGAAAAATCTATGTTATAGTTATGAACACACTTCTAAAAGAAACTAATTATAGTGTATACGGTTATGCAACTTTGCATTGAACTAGAAAAAGAATGCTAATCTTCAAACAACTAGGAAAGAGTTATAAACACTTGCTGTGTAAAAGACAGAACGATAAAGAATATAAACATAAATATAAACAATTAGAAGAGGTTCATCCTCCAATAAGCAAAGTCTTGGGAGGAACTAAACATGAACACGTGGAAAGATGTGGTCTGACTCCACTCATCACCATAAACCATCTGTGCTCCCCAGTTCATCACTGAGAGCTGCTCTTTAAATGAGCACTGTTTAATCCCTGCCCAAGCACAGCACAAGGGATTTTTGAGAGCGTAGATTTATGAAATGTGGTAGCCACGGCTATTAACTTTTTATGTCACCTTGCTATAGAAATGCCTTAAATAAGCTGATTATAAAATATGACTTCAATTTTCCACCAGCTTTTGCATATATGGGAAAGCAAAAAACATTATTAAAGATATCCCGCATTATATGCAAAGATACGCATAAAATGATTAAGAACACCAACTTTGGAGCCAGATTCCTGGGTTCAAATCCTGGCTGAACCCCTCACTATTGAATATTTCTCTGCAAGCTAACTTAGATTTGTCACACCGGCCAGGCCACCAGGGCTTCCATTTTGTGGGTCCCAAGAAACTTTATCATCTATAAATGGAAGAGCTTGAGGCTTTATAATGAGTAAATATCAGTCAGCAATACAAACATCAGATAAAGGTAAATCTCGAGGGCCTGAACTGGAAGACCTCAAGCAAACATAAAAATTGAACGGATTTTGAAAGATGCTAGTATTTGGACTCGTGGAAGCACATTTCATAAAGGAGCCAAAGAACAGTGGTGAGAGGGGAGAACACATGGCAGGAACCCACGCTGGCTGGAGGGAAAGGATTTTACAAGAACAGTATGAGGGGAGACTAGAAATACCAGTTAAGAACACAGTGTAGACATCATTGAAAACTAACAACAGCATGATATAGGGTTTAATAAAGTTAAAATTTCTGAGAACATAAGTATTACTTTGAAGAGATGTCTAAGAAAACTCACACCAATGCAATGTGTAGAATAGATGAGAAAATAGAGAAATTATTAGAACTTAGTTGAGGCACAAGTTAATAAAAAATCCGAGAATAGGCGGCCACAAGTTCCATAAAGTCAGACATCCAAACTCAGTAAGTGATGTGATATGGAGAAAGAGAAAGAAAAGAATCAAATTTTAATGTGCAGTTTGGGTCCAGGTGGTCAGAACAGCAATAGCATGATTAACAGGAAGCAGGGAGACAGAAGGAGGAAGTCTTTTTACAAGTAAGGTAACCGACTTGGCTTTTAAACAGAGTAAATTTAAGGTGAGAATAGCCACGCCTACCTCCAGACCTGCACTTCCTTGCACAACAGGAATGCAATAGGTGCTGAGAAAAATATTTCTGAGTAGCGTTCCCATACAAACATAATAGAGAAGCCCTTCCACATAATACAATTTCTCTGTGGCTGCTAGCCTAATTAAAATGGATAAAACCATAAACACAAAAATAAAAGAAGTGCCAAAAGTTGTCTCTATCTGCAACGCACTGAGATTTCACTTTTGGATGTTTAAAAAAAATTATTATATGAAAAGATGTCTAACACCATGAGAGAACTGCCAAGTAAAACCACAATGAGATACCACTGCACAACTGACAACTATTAGAATTATTAGACCACATATTATAAAAAAAAGTAAAAATCTAGTAATGACATGAATGCAGAGCAGCATGGAAAAACCACTGTGCAAACATTTTGACAGTTCCCTATCAAAGTATACAGTTCCCTATAGAGCAGAGATCCCACTTCCAGGTACCTAGCCAAAAGAAACAATGTGTCCTCACAAATATCTATATGCAAGTGTTATAGCAGCTATATTCATAATCACCAAAAACTGGAAACATGTCAAATGTAGTAAACGGACAGACAAATGGTAGAATGTCCACACAATGGAATACTTCATTGTGGAACAACTTACTGGTAATCTCAAAAACACTGTCTTGAGTGAAAGAAGCCAAGCACAAAATGCTATGTAGTATATAATTCTATTTATATAATATTCTGGAAAAAGGAAAACCATGACCCGTCTATACTTTGGTTATGGTTACAAGTTACATTTGTCAAAGCTCACTAAAAAGCATACATATCAAGAGTGAAGTTTACTGCATGCAAATTATCTCTCAATAAATCTAACTTTAAAATAAAACTGTAGCATCTTAACATTTGCTCAAAGAAAATTGTTAAAGCTTAGCATTGTTATCCATGTTGACTCTGAAAAATTCTAGACATTTCTTATGTAGCTAGACTAGCACAAGCACCCTTAATACAGAAAAGATATAAACCCCTTGATTTTCCCCTCTTTAGGCCTCAAAAACATTTCTATGCAGAATATGGCAGAAGGATGTTAGAGGGGGTGCAGAGGCCGCGTGAATGCTGGTTATTGAGACACTAATAAAGTGAGTCTTGTTTGTGGACAGCTGTTGGTCTCATTGTCCTTTTGTCACACACAAAAAAGGAGAGCTCTTATGCTCATGGAATGTGACCTTCTCATTGGATAGCTGTGACATCATGCCCGGAATCACTGCCTGAAAAAACCGTTTCACCATGTAACACAGAGAAAATGGTAAAAATAAAAACAAACAAAACAACCATGAAAGACCCTACAACTAATTAAATAAAATACATTAAAATCAGATCACTTAAAAGAAGGATTTCTCAATACTGCATATTCCAGAATATTTTTTTATAAGAAGAATGGTTTGTCTGATCTTACTATTGTTTGTATATTAACTTAGGAGAGTATTTTTCTGAGTCCAAATAATTTTTGTTATTTGCTTCAAAAGACATTTTGTATGAGCATTCTAGGATTACTAATCCCAAACAGTTACAGGATTAACTCTTTGATTGTTTGTATTATCAGAACCTACCTAGAATCCTTGCCATTTTACAATTTGGTCATTTATAAACCATTTTTACATGAACGAACACCCACACAATTCATATGATACACAATTTTCAAAATCAATGCACCAAAAGATAAAAAAGACAGTATCTCTTCATGTTTTGAATATATGTTTTTTAAAATGTATTCAATAGCTTGTTTTTAAACATATGCATGACTGTCACTGAGGCTGACTCAACTCCTCACACTCTGCTAGTCCTCACCAGCAGCAAAGACACAAGATAGAGTAAGACCACACACCCAGGCTGCCCATCTTTACGTGTGAGTGGGAAGGTCTGACCTTCTAGACCTTCTAATAATTAGGGTCTTTTGCTTCCTTTCCATTTACCTACACTGCTTATTCTTTAACACACAGAGAAATAAAATTCAAGTGGTTGAAAGTGAGCAGCAGTAAAGAAGTAAAACAGTTTTTTTCTTATTATCTATAAATTTCAATTCTGCCTGCTATGCTGATTTCCCAGTACTGTAGGCATCTGAACAAGTTTAAGAGAAAATCAGCTTGTAAATCAAGTGCAAAAAAATTTTCAACTGTTAATAATTTTGAGTTTTTAAACTGCTATTCAATATCATATTCTATTCCATAATGAAACTGTCAAGTATTTGTAATAATTAGAGAAACTGTACATGAAGATTGGAAAACTTACTTTTAAGGATTCCCATAATGGAAACTGGACCAGTGAGAAAGGTATCTGAAGAGGGAGAAAAAAAAAATCAAATAAATTAGGCAAAAAAGATTAATATGTTTGGCATTACTACATAAAAGCCTATAACTTACTTGGGAACATCTTTCATTTTAAGCTTATGTACTTAATACCGTTAATATTAAATAAATACATAAGCATAGCCTATCTAGATTTTAGGACGAGTTAAACTTTAACTGCCTGTAGAATTCTACCAACTTTCTGAACCCAAGGTACACAAAATGATGCTGTGAGCTCTTTTGAAAGGGAAAGAGAAGCACAATATGGAAAGGGTCTGGCTACGGGAATGACAAAATTATTATTTCCCACCAGAAGTAATAAAGACTTTAAAGACCTGGCATTTTCCTGCTAAAAGGCAGAACCGTTTACTCTTTAACAGGCAGTGTTAGGGTCTAAGAGAAACAAGGAAGGGGAGAGAGGGGTGGGCCAAAAGGTGAGGGAGGGAGGGAGAAAGTAAGGAGGGGGAGGAGAAGTACAAAGGGAAGGACATGTAAGGTGGGTGAAGGGAGAAAGGGAGAGAGAAAATGAAAGGAGAATGAGAGAAGTAGAGAGAAAGGGACAGAAAGAAGAAGGCAGGTGGAGAAAAAGGGAAGACAGGAGGAGAGAGACAGAGTCACAAGTGTAAGCTGAGAAACAGGGTACAACAGAACAGCCAGCTTGGGCGTCGGAAACCCAGACCCCATTAGTGCTGGAGGAGGGCAGGACTCTAAACAGAGCAGGGGATGCAATGTTGGGCCTGTACACACAGCAGTCAAGGGAAGAGTAACCTGCCGTAGTAAAGAAGTGGCAAAGACTATCACTAACTTAAACATGTACAATTAGTTCTCTAACTGTAAGAGCTACAATTATCCAGCACACTTCATGTGTCAGACACTGTGTTAGTAAGCACTTTCATAAATTTCATTTCACCAAATCCTCACAAAACCCCACAAGACAAGTGGATATTGTCCCAATTCACAGATGAGGAGACTGCACTTTAGAGAAGACCTTAAGGTACTCAGTTAGGAAATAAGAAGCCCAGAAAATCTGCCTCCAAAAGCCCTGTGGAATTTACCCAAAAGTCATCTAAATGCATTTATCTGCATATGAATCTACCCACAGTACAATCTACTAGCTATGTGATATCCAGGCCCTGCCCAGAGGGCCTGTGCCAGGGATGCTGCTGCTCACCAACAGGCCATGGGCCCAGTATTGTTATTCTATATTCAGCTCAGCTGCAAGTGAAACATAAGTGTGAACTTTGAACATTATCAATATACATATACAATAGGAAAAAGAGACCATGATTTTATAGGAATAATGGGTATTTATCGGCACATAAATTAAAGGCATTGAATTACTTCTTAAATATTTACATTTAATCAGTAATTAAAAGTCTAGAATCATTTATCTTATTACTCTGCTTGAGCAAATGATGGCCCTGAGCTTGACAGTAGTCACAGAAAGAAAATGTCTTCCATTCAGATAGATTAGTTTAAGATGACAAACTTAAATCTCAGAGAAGGCATGTGATCTTCTTAAATAAACTGCACCCCACCAAGAATGTCAAAGTTCCACAGCAGGAGACAAATTTAGTTTCTTCCTTTTTTTTTTTTTTTTGTCACCACAATGTGAAAGCATTTGTCACTTCTACTCTGAAACTAAAGTGCTGCATTTCCAATTAATTATTAACCCTCCCCCCAACATAAACAACAACCAAAAAAACTGACTGCATAACAGTTTTCCAAAAGCTTTTCTAAATTTTTAAAAATTTATATATAATAAAATACCTGAGCAAACAGTGGGTTATAGATGATTTTAATTTTCTTCTCTATACTCTCCCCTCCCAAATGTAAATATATCACATTTTAACAAGAATGAAAATATTTCACATTTACAAGGGAAAAAAAGGGATTTATTAACTTATTGTAATGTTCCATGCTAGCATTCTTCACTTCCTGATTAAAATAATCCATAAAACTACATTATACGCTAGCTATACTTTTTGGGGTACTTAATAAATATTAAATTTTGAATCCTATAGATTCATTTGCCCATTTTCCTCTATTAAAAGCTATTCATTAAATTGTTCTTTCAACTTAAAGAAGCAATTTAAAAATCACACATTTGGAATGGCCAAACTATTCCATTGGGTATTTATTTTAAAAAGTGAGCCGACAGTAAACTCTAACTTTACTCTCTAAAACAAGATTAATTGACGACCTAATGTAATTAAATGTGCTGTAAATGCTTGAATAATTAAATTGGTTTCTGGGAGTGAAATATCTCGCTTAAGATAAACTACTGATGTGTAAAAAATTTTCAAACATTCTTCCAGTCAAATTTGTACTGCAGGTTTGTCCTTTATAATATGAAGAATTAACAATGAAAATGTGCCCCACACATGTGAAAGCAGCACTGCCACCAAAGAAGGCTTCATGGCTAGAACAAATACTTCTTCCAGCTTCCACAGAACATGGGTCTGTCAGAAAGCTAGCTGCCTCCCCGTGTCTGGTCTGGAGTTACATAACAGTGATGTTTCTTCAAAACACGGGATCTTAAAACCCCAAACAGATGTAAGCTGTTATTCTAAAATGTTTTATAGATGAAGAAAATGAATAGCTGCACTCAGAGGTCTTATATTCCAAAATACAACATACCCATTTTATTGCCTGAAAGTACAAAATGGCTCACTGTTGTGACCTGTTTAATGCCTCTATTTAAGATGTTTTGTTTGAATAAGGTTGTTAAGACCCAGGGCAGTAATAAGTGAGTGGCAGTAAACCCAGCTACCATCAAAGAGGCAGATGTAGGGGGAAAAAACTGCTAAAATTCAACATGGATTCCACTTAGTAATAAACATTATCAATAATTCCATGTAAGAGTGCATGTGAGGATCCAAGTGCTATAGACACTTGGATATAGGTGTGGTAAACAAGGCAAGGAAATGTTGAGCATTACTAATAAAATAAAGACTGTGCAAAATTACAAAACAAACCTGCTTTACCTGTCTATCACCAAGTATTGGGCTAGAATCATCCTTGAAGTCAATCAATGCTTATAAATCTGTAATCGTAAAAGAAAGAAATGCCTACACTCTTGTAGTCCTTAGCGTAAAAAATGAAGTGACTTATAACTAAGGAGATAGGAAGTTGTGATTTCTAAGGTATCAGTAAGCGCTAAACTGTCTCTAATGAAAACAGCACATTATAACACCCGTACATTTTTTACAAAATAAGACTCGAGTATAAGGTCCAGTGAACACAATCCACCATGAGTGATCTAAGGAAGCCTAAGAATTGAAAAAGTACATTTTAAAAGCTGTGAAGGCTATGATACTTAGTAGAAATAACCCAAAAATCTTAAGCAACAGGACAAAAAAAAATACAGAGACTATTTGCTAAGACCCAAAATAGATGGGGTTTGAAGAAGGCACAAAATTTGTTGACTCACATGGAACAGAGTGGGCCCAAGAGCTGGCCCATTCCAATTTCCAAGGGATCCTACAAGTGACCCTCTCTTTGTTGTATGTATGACAATATAAAAATTCTATGCTGATTTAGGGTTTTCATTCTACTGTCACACTGTTAATAAAGTCATTCTCCCCTTAAATACTCTGCCTTTCCCCCATTAAACCCCTGTGGTAGTCAAGGAAGGGCAAGTGAAACTGAAGATCTAAAGTCCTTTTGCCTCAAAGTGACTATTGTTCATAAGGAAAAAATGAGAGCCATTCAAAGCTGGTCTGTTAGCATCTGACATGGCAGGAAAGAATTCTAACAGTAAATACATATCGACTTACTGATTTAACAACTGTAATCCATTTATGCACATCACACATAAAGTAAAGAACAAATACCTAATAAAGGAAATTAACCTAAAGAAGGCAAAACTGACCGTGACTTTGGTTCGTGAAATACTAAAATTACTAAATCATCTTTCCAAAGAAAGCACAAACTGAACACAGTATCAAAATCTAATACAGAAAAGGAGATAAAATTAGCAGTTTGATTTTTAAGTAAATCTTTTGAGTCTCAAAGAAATCTTCAGGGAATCACCAACTGCTAACTCACTGTACCAGATACAAGAAGTCCTTAGTAAGTGATATCACTGAAGGCAATAATTAGATTTTCTCTCTACATTCTATAGCATCATCACAATAATTCTGTGTGGGTATAAACAGCTGGCATATCAATTTATATGTTGATATGCCAGTCATACAACTTTGTAGTGAAGACAGAAACAACGTCAAATAAGTCCATAATCTGCATGTCTGAAGTACAAAAACAAGTTTCTGTTTCTCAAAAGTGTGCATGTATTTCACAATACTCATGATTAAATGCTTATCAAAATAAAAATAGAAGGGACATCCTTAATCTGACAAAGAATCACAACAAAAAACATAAAGCTACTATCATTCCTACTGCTGAAAAACTGCCCTTCCCTTCAGACAATAATCAAGGCAAGGATGTTTGCTCCCGCCACTTCTATTCAACATGGCACCAAAGGTCCTCGTCAGTAAAATCAGACAAGAAATAAAAAACACTAAAATTGGAAACAAATAAAACTATTCCTATTCACAAATTACTTGATTGATTGTACACAAAACCCTAAAGATACTTATGGAAATAATACATCCCTCCCCCCCACAAGAATTCCTAAATACAAGCCAACAAATAAGTGGAAAACAAATGTTCTCTTAAAAAAAATTCTACTTTCAGCAGCATTAAAATAACACAAACACCTTAGAAATAAACAAAGGACTTACTGGATTTCTCTACTGAAAATTATAGGGCATTTTAAGTAAATTTAAAGAAGACTTAAATAAATACAGAATATACTTTTAATAGACTGGAAGAATAAATATTGCTAAAATAACATTTCTCCACTAAACCTTTGTTTTAACACAATCCCAAAAATAATCCCAGCAGGCTCACGTTTTTTTTTTTTTTAAAAAATATAAACTGAAAAGCTGATTCTGAAAGTTACATGAAAGTGCCAAGGAGCTGGAA